CCACCCACTCCCACCACCACCACAGAATGCCCCTCTCCCAGCAGGGCCGCAATCCCAGCATGCATTGCTCCCCTTCGACTTGTCCTTCAAGTGTCTCAAGCGATGTCGTGTCAGATGCCTCCTTGGGTCCTTGTTTACTTGGTTACCGTGGCAACCAACTCCTCTTTGCCTCAACAGCTGTGTCACTTCCACCATATATCCATTGGAGCATTATACTCCACAGTCTCCCCTTTGCGGCAGCGGCCCTCAGTGACCTCTGGGATGGGATAATATGGGCCTACTTTGTCGTTGTTTGTTGGCATGTGTAGCACACACGTTAAAAAGTACTTTTTTTAGTTCAGTAATTTGTATTATGGGATGTTATACTCTAGTCTGCGTTGGCTCCACTTTCTCAATTCTCCTTTCAAACTAAATTTGCCTCATTACCGGAAAGTAGCAGATACTAATTCCTTCCCTATAATTAGTCCTTTTGGGGTGTTATACTCCACTGTGTTTGATTTTCTACTCTTGACCCATAGTGTCCTCTGGGATAATGTGTGCCTCCTTCCTGAGAATACAGGAGCACCTCGTTCTTCTCTAAAATAAAAATTGGACTCCTTCCTGATGAGACCCTCGTTCTTCCCAATAATTAGCCGGGTGTTGCTCTACATTCTCGACTTATCTGTAGCTGCATGCTTTTTCACCGGCACACAGATGAAATGTCTAAATTTATGTAAACTTACAGAAATGAGTCCTATCAGAGTATGCTTGTGGAGGCTCTCAGTCGTACAGGAAAGTTCCATCGTAGAAAGGGTTCTGTCAGTCGTCATCTGTACCTGTGGGTAAAAAACAAAAAAAAACAAAAAAAAAGCAAAAAAGGACGTTTGCTTTCTCTCACAGAAGCTTCGTCAGCGGTAGACAACCCTGAAGTCTCCGTGAAGACTCCGGGAAGTTGCTCTGCGCTAAAAAGCTGAGCGTGGCCTGTTTGAGGACTGGGTGGGGATGGTTAGTCACGCCCCTATTGGTTTATTAGAGGCCCATTGGTT